CACACACACACACACACACACACACACACACACACACACACACACATACACACACACACAAAATATACTGCTACTGTTGTTACGTTAATGTTTTGTAAATATTATATATTTGAGTTAATGTCATTCTTTCATCGTAACTGAGTCTTTGATTAGTTGTTATTTTATTTTCTTTTTGATTAAAAAATGATGTAACTTTAAAATTTAAAATTACAACTATTTTTAAAGAAGTATATTACGTTTTAAAATTTGACTGACCGAGTCAAGAACTAGTTTTTGATTAAATAATTTATGTTTAATTGTTTACGATATGGTTGATTGCTGTAGTGGCTTCCTAACTTTTACTGATTTAAAGTTGTTTTTTTCCATAAATTCATCTCTGATAAATAAAAAAATTTTTTTTGATCATAATTTTTAAACATTCATTTGAGTTTCTTTCCAATATTAAGGTTCTTTTAGTGAACTTTATTATGACAAATTAGTCAACACGTATATGTTTATATTTATAATTATTTATGTCTCTGAAGAGGGTTAAAAAATGGGCCGAATGTATAAATGTGTTAATTTAATAATGAATTTTGTGTTACATTTGTATATTATTTCGCGTCTGACCCTACTTGTCCTTTTTTCACTTAATTTTTTAAAATTATATTCATTGATTTCTTTTGGTTAAACTTAGTTCACGTATGTTATATGTGAAAGCACAACACATCGCTGACCTATGGTCTTCCTGAAAAGGAGAGCATACATATTAAAGGGAATAAATTTATTCGAATTATTTCTACATGAATTCGCTTCAAACAGTTTTTCTTACGTAAAACTATTCACATGATTATAATAAGTTGAGAGAATAGTTTTTGTATAAATAAATTTCTGTAGAGGCAAAACTATATATTTCATCTCTTATCGCTCAAATTTTTAGCAATAAAATTGTCCTTAGAAAGTTTATGATGAGTTTATGAGAGAGTAGCTAATGAATATAAATAGTAAAAAAAAAAAAAAAACGAACATATATCTTATGGATACAATGTTTTAATCGAACATTTGATATGTATACATATATCTGCATACATTAAGTTAATAATTCGCTCAACTCAAGGACATGTAACGTGTAACAGGATTCTTCACTCTGTGTGACATCATGCAGCTAATATATTGTCGATTCTTGTTTAACTGAATGTTTCGTTTAACGTTGTCAAATAAATGATCGTCTCCTTTCATTTCAACTAAGTAAAAAAATAATGTTAAAAAAAGTATAAAAATAAAAAATATACTATTCCAAATTCTAAACATTGTTTCAGTAAATATGCTGGCAATCTAACAGCAGTTTGATTTTGAGATATTATTTTTATCTCATGTAGTGTATCGCAACAATAAATTGAAAGTCGTAAAATAAACGGAAAAAAATGTTGAAAATATGTATATTCGATGAAATGTATTTATGTAGGTATATTGGTATATCTACATCACTTCTCAAAATTATGCAATAAAATTTTAAAATTCGACACGTATGCAGCGTTTAATGTAAAATCCGCTGCTGCTGTTGCTTTTAAAAGCGCACTTCATATTAGCGGTGTTTTTAGCGTTGGATATAATTTAATTATAGTTATGAAATATGAAAATTGTTTGTCTATAATCTAAGCAAAAAATAGATAAAGAATCATTTTTAATTATTAATTTAATTATTAATTACTTACATAATTTATATATTAATT